AAGACAATTTCCACAAGAGATCTTCAGACCTTCTATCGGGGTCGTATTTGGTCAATTCCCGCGCCCGTCGCTTCGACCCGTTCAGATTCTACATGAAGTCCAGACCCTCTTGAGAAGATCACCCTGCGCTGCAACTGCAACTCTGGAGGCCCTCGATCAAACGGAAAAAAATTGCAGAAACTCCCAAACCGGAATGACCTCCCGCATGTTTCGCATACTCGGCTTTCTGGGCTTCAGAACGTCCACGCCGGCCCGAGACCCCCAAGAGACGTTTCAGAAGAGCCAGAAGGGCCGCTGGGTCGGGAAAAGCTCGGCTGGCTGGACTCGAGTCGCTGACTCAGGCCAGTCATGAACACGGCCCAGCTGAACTTGGCCAGGCCGAACTCGGCCCAAGAAGAACTCGGCCGGGCTGAACTCGGCCCAGCTGAACTCGGCCAGCTTGAAGCAAAACTCGGCCCTTTGGACTCGGCCTGCGCTCCGGCTGCGGCGCGAGCACCGGATGGGAGCGGCTGGAGAAAGCTCGACCAGAGAAGCTCGACCCTGAGAAACTCGGCCAGAGAAACTCGACCCCCAGAAAGCTCGGCCACACGGAGCTCAGCCAAAGAAACTCGGCCCAGGGAAAACTCGGCCACGCTGGGCATCTTGGGCATAACCCCCCAGCACGTCCCTCAAGCACAACTCCGCAGCAGAGCCCCATCCCCCAGCACACCCCCCAGCCCCATCCCCCAGCACACCCCGCCAGCACACCCCGCCAGCACAACCCAGCAGAACAACCCCCCAGATCAACTGCCCAGCACAACCCTCCAGCACAACCTCCAGCGCACCCCCCACGCCCCACCTCCGATCATCATCCCCCAGCACAGAACTCCAGCACAACCCCTCCAAAACGACACCCCCAGCGCAACTCTCACAGCAACCCTCGAGCACAACCCTCAAGCAGAACCCCTCAGCATGAGACCTCTGCATCACGCTCCAGTACGCCCCTCGAGCACGACTCTCCAGCACAAGCTCACAGCACAAACTCCCCAGTACAATCCCCAACCACGATCCCCAGCAGAACCCAAAAAGACAACCACCCAGCAAAAGCCCCTAGCACAACCCCCCAGCACAACCACGGCGGGCACACTCCCCCAGCACAATTTCCCGCCCCCCCCCCCTCAGCACAACCCCCAGCAGAATTCACTAACAGAATGCCCCAGCACAACCCCCCAGCGCAACCACCAGCCTTCCCCTCAGCACAGCTCCCCAACACAACCCCTATCACAATCCCCCAATGGAACCCACCAGCAGAACCCCCAGCACGACGCCCCAACACAACCCCGCAACACAACCCTCCAGCCCAATCCGCCAGCCCCCCCACGCACAATATCCAAGTACAACCTTCTGGTACATCCCCAGCACAACCCCCAACACAACCCCCCAGCACAACCTCTCAGCACAACCCCCCAAGACACTGTCCCAGTACAACCCCCAGCACCATCCCCAGCACAACCCCCCAGCGCAACCTCCAAGTACATCCCCCATTATCATCATCATCTCGCCATCACCACCACCATCACCACAACCACCACCACCACCATCAGCATCATCATCAGCAGCAGCGTCATGAGCATCATCATCGGCAGCATCATCACCATCAGCATAGCCATCCGACTCCGCCGTCTCCTCCTGACCCGCAGCCCCTCCAGCCCAAGGATACGGAGGTCCATTGTGGATCCGCGTAGCGCGTCACTGTGCTGGGCCCCCCAGCAGGCCTCGAAAGTGGCGAAAGTTTCGCAGATCGCAGCCCCCCAGGGATGGCGAGGTCTACTTTGGGTCCGCGCGTGGCGTCACTGTGCTGGGCCCCCCAGCAGGCCTCGAAAGTGGCGACAGTTTCACAGATCGCAGCCCCCCAGGGATGGCGAGGTCTACTTTGGGTCCGCGCGTGGCGTCACTGTGCTGGGCCCCCCAGCAGGCCTCGAAAGTGGCGACAGTTTCACAGATCGCAGCCCCCCAGGGATGGCGAGGTCTACTTTGGGTCCGCGCGTGGCGTCACTGTGCTGGGCCCCCCAGCAGGCCTCGAAAGTGGCGACAGTTTCACAGATCGCAGCCCCCCAGGGATGGCGAGGTCTAATTTGGGTCCGCGCGTGGCGTCACTGTGCTGGGCCCCCCAGCAGGCCTCGAAAGTGGCGACCGTTTCACAGATCGCAGCCCCCCAGGGATGGCGAGGTCTACTTTGGGTCCGCGCGTGGCGTCACTGTGCTGGGCCCTCCAGCAGGCCTCGAAAGTGGCGACAGTTTCAAAGATCGCAGCCCCCCGCAGGCAAGACAGGAGGAGGCAGGCAGGAGGCAGGAGGGAGACGGGAGGAGACGCGCGAGCAGTGCTCTATTTAAAACGAATGCCCAACCAAGGAAGGTTGGGAATAAAGCAGGAAGCAGGACGCAGGAGGAGGGAGGGAGGCGGGAGGAAAGAAGGTGGAGACCACAGTCCCTCATTCATAACGAATACCCAACCACGGAGG